GTCTTGGCGCTCACTCACCGAGCCTGAGAAGGTGATGACCCCGTGGACTCTTCACGGTGCGAGTCTCATTGGAGGCACGGCAGACGACGCCACATGGAGATGTAGGGATCCGACACCTGCGTGGGCGACATCTCCGAGGACCCAGGTTGGTTCGAGGGCATCGGGTTCGGCATCCCAGAAGTACCATGGCACAAGCACTGGCCAGCTCGTGGGGGTGCTTGTGCCTGGGCCCCCTGGCGTCGGTGTGCAAAGTCCTGGTGGGCCATCGCGGCTACCAGGCTCAGTCGCCACGGGCGTTACATCGCAAAATCCTGGTGTGCCAGTGCGGCTACCTGACGCAACGTCGCCACAAGGGCCCCTGGACGTCTTCAACGGGGAGCCCGCCGACGCCCTGAAGCAGGAGGCCGTCGCGAGGCCCGTAGGCCCGCGGAGCGTCGCGAACCGCTGCCCAGGGGTTGCCGCTGGCGCGAGGCGTGGGGGGGCGAGCCGCCACTGGAGGGGTCGCGTGGACGGGCTCCGACGGCATGGAGGAAGTGGCAATCGCGAGGTCCGTGGGCCCTCCGAGTGCCGCGGGCCCCAGTTTTGGGGGCTGCTGTCGGCGCGAGGGGCGGGGATCGCGCCGCTGCCTCTGGCAGCGGGGGCGGGATCCGCTGCCGCGGGGGGGCGGTGGGGGAGGAGCTCGGCGAGCACCCTAAGGCCGCCCTCCCCCCAGGCCCTGCTCAGGAGCTGAAGGGGGGGTCCATTCCGCCATGCCAAGCAAGGCCAGCAGAGCCAGCGGCCCCACAGGACATGGCTCACCCTAGAATTGGTGGTGTTTGCGCTGGCAGTTCGGATGGAACCATTCCCAACAGGGGTGAGATGTACGTTTCAGAGGTATCGCAATTACAGGAGGGGCGAGAAGTGGAGGTGACCCCTACCTATTTCTGGTGGTTGCACTGACAGAATGGGCGGCGATACCTCAGACGAAGGCGGCTCCTGCATTTTCGATATTTACTTCTCGAACACCACTTCCTGAAGCGACAGGGCGATCGACTACTGCAACAAGCCACGGTTGTCATGTTCATAGGGACCCACCTTCATATGACAAAGCTCATACAGACTTCCAAGAGAATGACCGAGCTACAGATTTGCCAATTGTGTGCCACTACGATGCGTATGCGGAAGGTCGATACCTTTTTTGTTGCTGTGCAGTTGGCACCGCACCTGGGGATATCAGGGTCCAACTTCAAATTCCTGGAGGAAGCTGGCAACTATCTCAAGGTCCAAGGACGACCATTCGTGATGGTCGGAGGCTGGAACAGTACCATTCCTGAGATGCAGCAGTCTGGGCTCCAAGTCGTCCTACGTGCAGGTTAGACAGGCCCAGCGAAGGCAGTTCCAGGAGGGTATCAGCTCATTTATTGTTGTCTCAACAATCCTGACCTACGTAATCTCGTCGAGCTACCGTGGGATCAAGAAAGGACATGGGCAGCACCACGCTCGGGCAAGCGGGCTAGGCTCAGGACTGGTGGATTCAGTATGCCCAAGAGAGTCATTGCGCCATGCCCCGAGATCGAAATGAACACACCTGGACCCGACCTACCTGGGGAGTGACATTCCATACGAGTTGAGCAGAAGGTCGCCGAAGGACTGGCCAAGATCCAGTTAACTGTCGGAGATGAGGCTGCGCATCGGCATTGCAGCGGAAAGCCAAGGCTCGACCTAGCTCAGCAGTACATGCCCTCTGCATTCGCATCGGAGAGCTTTTGTACTCATCCGCAACACCGAGATCGACTTCGACGGTAGCGAGCAGCATCGAGGATGGGCAGCCCAGACCATGGAGGTCCCCATCGTGCCCCCTAACCCAGCACTGGGACAAGGTGGCGAGAAGAAGCACATCCCTCCGCGCTGGGCCGCCGCGCAGCCGGCCGCCCCGCGCCTGCCGCCCCGAGCGGGGGCGGCGGAGCGGGGCCTCCGGTGCGCGGGGTCTGCGCGCGGCCGGGCATGGCATGATGGGCCTGGTTTCCACCACCACCACCACCACAAGCTGGAGGGGGTAAGGAGGAGGTCGAGGAGGAGGAGGACGAGGAGTTGGAGGAGGACGAGGAGGAGGAGGAGGACCAGGAGGACGACGAGGAGGAGGACGAGGAGGAGGAGGACGAGGAGGAGGAGGAGGACGAGGAGGAGGAGGTGGAGGAGGAGGACCCCCTCCCCCTTCAACTTATGGTGGTGGTGGTGGAAAACAGGCCCAGCATGGCAGGGGCGAGGCGCGCCCACGAGGGCGGGCGGCGCGAGCCTTGCTACCGCTCAGGCGTCCATTCCCAGTGCGTGCTGCGATTCCGTGCGCGTGTTTCTTCGCAGGGTGGCCCAGGGTGCTCCTCGAGGGTCCTCGCAGAGAAAAGATGCACATGTCCGAGCGTTGCCGAGGAGTGGAGGCCTCCCAGGTCGAGTGCTTCGAGCAGGGGGTCGACTGCAGAATTGAGTTGGCCCCAGCAAGGAAGTTTCTCGTCAGATCGAGGGACAGTTTGAAGGAGGCTCGTAGACCCATGAGCGTTCGACGTATTTTGTTTGGCAGATCCGACGAACATTTCAATTCCAGGGTAAGTCAATTCTGTAATGGATCTCCTACTGGCCCAGGGTGTCCCCAGGACTTCCGAGGAGGCACCCAAAGCCTCCAGAGAGCCCCTCACAAGGCCCATGGGGGGCCCAAGGGGCTTCAGGGGCAACGACAGGGAGGCATAGGCATATGTGGGGATGCATCGACGTTTAATGTTACGATGTTCCAACCTACTTGAGCCTTGATCACCAGAACGAATTTCGAGCACCAAAGGAATACCGACATTGGAGGGTTTTCACGTGTCGGGCCCTGGGAGGCGATACTCGTTCGACACCGTTTCGATACTCCTCTGGGTGCTCGAACATATTCTTGGGATGCAGCCCTTGAGTACGATGGGATCAACCTAACCCGAGTGGCCGATGTTTCGCCCATGTGTCGTCGATGCATCGTCGGTGCATCGTCGATGCCGGCGAAGCGAGGCTCAGGGAGAAGGAGGAGGAGGAGGAGGAGGAGGAGGAGGAGGAGGAGGAGGAGGAGGATAGGAAGGAGGAGGAGGAGGTGGAGATGGAGGACGACGACGAGGAGGACGACGAGGAGGACAACGAGGAGGGGGAGGGGGAGGAGGAGGGGAGGGGGAGGAGGGGGGGAGGGGTAGGGGGAGGACGGCTCCACATCGAGCCGCATCGCCGATGCCTCGGCGCTGCGCCCCCCCTGCCCGGGCCTCTCCTGGGCGGCCTGGGCCCCCGGGGCGCGCAGGCGGCCCCTCAGTTAGGCCTCCTTGGCTTCCGGGCAGGCCTCCTGGAGGCCGCCGGGCCCCGCCGAGGAGTGAGGCGACGCCAGGGCGAGGAGGACGCTGGGCGAGGACAGGTCGAGCATCTCTTAAAGGGCCACATGCGAACCCTACCCCAGGTTTCGTAATAAAAGGGAGGGGGTCTGGACCCTCCAAGACAAGCCATTTCAGACCTCCCCCGTGGGAGAAGCCTCCAACACATCGTCCCCAGACCCCCCAGGCCCTCCAAGATAGCCTGGAAGAGACCCCCCCCCGAAATGAGACCCCCCTCCCTTTATTACGAAATCTGGAGTACCCCTACCCCCCACGATTTCTGAGGGGGAGGGTGGGGTTCACTTCGCTCGAGAGCTCCCGGACGAAGTGAACCCCACCCTCCCCCTCAGAAATCGTGGGGGGTAGGGGTAGGGTTCGCATGTGGCCCCCTATCTCTGCGATCCGGCGGCTCTGGAGGATGGAGCGGACGCCGCCACCATCTCGGAGCGTTCCGAGACGCTCCGAGAGCGTTCCGGCACGCTCTGGAACGGATTCATCCTCGTCCGAATCAGCCCCGTCCGAAGAAGGCCCCCGCCCTCTGAGAAGCGGCCCCCGCCCTCTTCGAAGACGTCGCCCCCCGCGCGCCACCCCCCTCCGGGCGCCGCCGAGGAGGAGGCTCCGGCGAAGGGGGGCGCCGCGCGGTAAAGCAGTGCGAAGGCCGCGGCCGCTGTAGGGGCCCTGTGGAGCGGCTGGTGAGCATCGCTTCGCAGATCCCTTTCCCCGCTGGCGTGGCCTGAGCCCCGCTGGCCGCCTCGCTCCCCATGGATGGGGGCACGGGCTGTTCCGGTCGGGCTTCGAGGGGCGCATCCCCAAACCAAGGTGGTGAGATGGTGGGGCTGAGCTGCAGGAGGAGGAGGACGAGGAGGAGGAGGAGGAGGAGGAGGAGGAGGAGGAGGCGGAGGAGGCGGAAGCGGAGGCGGAGGCGGAGGCGGAGGGGCGGAGGAGGAGGGGGCGGAGGAGGAGGCGGAGGAGGAGGAGGAGGAGGAAAAGGAGGAGGAAAAGGAGGAGGCGGGGCCAGCCTCGGCGGCGCGGCCTGGTGGGGATGGGGGCAGATAAACGAGGCTGGGCTGGGGCGTGGAGCGGTGACGCAACCCGCAGCCTTTGCTCCCCGCCCGGCCGCCCGAGCGCCGGGGTGCTGGGCACGTCGCCTTGGGCGGCGCGCCGGTTTTTTGGGAGCACGAGGCGGAGGAGAGGAACCGATCGGGTCGGTTGTGAGGGGGAGGGATACAGCAGTAGGGGGACAGACAATGACATTAACATAACAATTCGGAGGTCCGCGTGCATTTGTCGGATCGGCGCTGGACCCCCCTGGCGCGCCCCGTGCGCCAGGGAGGGGGATCTAGCGCCGACCCGAGACATCCGCGCGGACCTCGGGGATTTTATGTTTATGTCATTGTCCGTTCCGCTAAGCAGGCATACGCGGTATGAAATCTACCCATCAAAGATCCTCAATAGGAGCTCGGCCACACGAGACCTTCCACAAGAAACCCAGCCCTGAGACCCCAGGGCGTGCATTGATTTGTGGTGTGGGAGCGTCACGCTTTCCATAACAAAACAATCGAAACCCAAGAATCTCAGGGCACCTTGGAGGAAGCAGGGTGTTTCTTGGTATGGGCTTCCACTGCAGGCGCACATGCTGCGCCATCCCTGAGCCTCGTGCGGTGCCCCGGGGCTCTGTGGGCCGCATGCCAACTTCTGACTCGGTGGGCCCGCTGTGTCAAGGGGGGGCAGCGAATCCGCTCGCGGAGCTGGCTTCCCAGAAACATCTCGGCGCGGGAGCGGCGGCCGTGCGTCGATGAGAGGCCGAAAGCCAGGGGAACGAAGACTGACATAAACATAAAAACTCAGAGGCCCGCGCGAATTTCTCGGATCGGCGCTGGACCCCCCTCCCCGGCGCGCGGAGCGCGCCAGGGCCTTCACGGGCGGCGCCGGAGGCGCCGCCGGGGGGGCCCCAGCGCCGATCCGAGAAATCCGCGCGGACCTCCGAATTTTCATGTTCATGCCACATTTTGTTCCCCTTAAAGCGGCTGCGGCGCGGCAGGCGACCCGACGTATGGGGTGTCCAGGATCAGACAAACGGCACAACCAGAAACCTCAGGAGACCCGCGCGGACTTCATGGACCGGCCCTGGACCCCTCTTCCCTGGCGCGCGGCGCCGGAAAGGCCGCCAAAGGGGGGCCCAGCGCCACGAGGAGCAGGGGGGAGGAGGAGGAGGAGGAGGAAGAGGAGGAGGAGGAGGAGGAGGAGGAGGAGGAGGAGGAGGAGGAGGAGGAGGAGGAGGAGACGACGACGACGACGACGGGGGAGGAGGAGGAGGAGGAGGAGGAGGAGGAGGAGGAGGAGGAGGAGGAGGATCATGCTGGATCATGCTGCGATGCCACTCACGTGGCCAGTTCAATCACTGTCACCGCTATCATCACCACCGCTGCCCAACCCCTGCACACGAGCACCAGCGAGCACTGTCTGCCCCTGACCCTGGGCTCTGAGCTGGGGAGCGACTCCCTCAAGCTCATTCTCCACAAGCAAGCGAGCGGCAGCGGCAGCAAAAGCAGCAGCCGCGTCCTCGCCCACGGGTGGGGCGTCCTCGCAGACCGTCATCACGTCGGCCAGCTCTCCGACAGGGCGATCGGACGAGCGGGCCACATACTCATCAAAAAAGGGCCTCTCCTCCATTGGCCTCACGGCACCACCCACGCCCCCAGTTCCTTCCCAAGGGGGTGGCGGGAGGGCTCGCGCAGCAGCATCCAGCGCCGCCGCCTCACGCAAGGCCACGGGTGGGCCCCGATAAGACGGAAAACACCCTTCTTAATTCGCTTGAGGTTTTCGCCCCCCTTTCGAGTGGGGGGGGCACACACTCTCTGAAGCCACCGACCGTCTGTCGTGGCTGTGAAACCACATCGCTGACAGAAGGTCAGCCCGAACGCACACATCCTGGCGAGGCGGTGGCTGTGGTGAAGCTTCACAGCGCCAACCCACACCTCTCCCGAGATCGCCTCGAAACCCTCTCCAAACTCAGGGCTCAAACCCAACGTTTCAGCCGAATCCGACGGCCGCGACGGGATCGGAACGCGGCACGGGGTCGAGGCGACAGCGAGCACCTGGCTCCTCGGGACAATCATCTTGCACACATCGCAACGCCAGCGACCAGCGAACGGGCGAAACTTGTGCGCACTGTCGCGGATTGCCTGGTCGAATTTAGTGGGCTTGCGGACCTTGGGCGCTGGCGGAGCTCTGACACCTTCCCAAGGTTCAACCTCGAGCGCCAGCATCATCGCCCTTCTGGCCCTTCTACGCACCAGTGCCGCCGTCGTATCCCACAGGTCAGTCCGAGGGGGAGGGGCCACCACACACCAATCCCAGGACCACTGGGCCACCACCCCCGCATAGGCGTCGGCACTGGCGTTGCCCTGGCACATAAACATATCAAACGGGGAAGTTACCGACGGCAGATTTTCCTCCGTGTGGGAGGGCGTCCAGAAAAGCGAAACCTCCCCAGGGCCACGGGAGCGGAGAGCCCGAGAAACACGAACCCACAAGTCCCCGTTCGGGCCCCGAGGGGTGGAGGCACGGCCACCGTGCCAATCAGAAAGCAAACTCTTGCAGTCGGTAATATAGCATAACGGACCTTGCGAGTGCTCAAGCGCGAGACAGAAGGCCTGGAGCTCTGCTCTAGGGACCGTTTGCCGACGGCCTGACAAAACCTGTCCTACACCGCACTGGGGCACCCAAGAATTAGGCGACGAGGGGTCCTGGCACATCATCACCGCAGCCGAGCCGCATCGCCTACGCCTGGGATCAGAGCTGAACTCGCCCCCAGATCCGTCACCGAAGATAAACACAGGAGGGCCTCCAGGCTCCGAGCAGAAATCGGCAATACAGCCATCCCCTAGAAGGACCTCCTGGGCCGTTTCCGCAGTCTCAACAAACCTAGGCACCGTGAGGTCCTTCGAGGGCACACCCCTGAGCCACAAGGCCGGCTGGGCCTCAAGGCCCGCGAGGGCCTGGGGGGTCAAAAAATCCGTTTTTGAAAAGTCATCATGTCCGCCATTGGCTGGGCATAGCCAAATGCGGCGAGCTAAAGTCTCAGGCTGCTCCTTACATCGGGGGCAAAGCGGCGGGCAGGAATATCCTGCGGCAATCTGCCGCTCACGAGTCCACTGGCCCCCCGAGATGACGGCAATGTCGGCGGCCCACTCGTCGAACTTGAACTTGGCAGCCAGGCGGTTCAGCTCAATCTGCACCGTCGTCATGTCCGCTCCTGCTGCCAGATCCTCGCCCGCCTCATGGTGGGCCGCTTCCTTCCACTGCAGCTGAACACAATCATCCATGAAAGCGCCGAGCATATCCTCGAAGTGCGAAGGAACAGCTGTAGCGAACTTCTCATCACCGAAAGCAGGGAACAGCCAATCATCGATCGTACCATCTGGCAAAGGACGTGACCAGACATCAGGACTTCGCGGATCCCAGCCAATCTGCAAGAGCGTGGCCTGCACCGCGGCGATGGGGCCGCGCACATCCTTCCACTTCACCACCTGTCGCTCAGCAGCGCCACGACGCAGCTTCGCCAGTGTGATCGGCCACATCTTGCGAATGCGAGGATGGAGCATCGGCTGGGAAAGCCACACAGCAATCCACTCCTTCATCATCTGCTTCCTCAAATCTATGCCTGGATCAGAAACCCCAAACACAGCTTGGATAACCGAATTCAAACACCTGCCACGCTTCGACCCAGCAACACTAGCTGCAGCATCCCGCCTCAAAGCCAACAGAGAAGATGGAGGGGTGCCCCCAAAGACTGCAGCAGGTAACACTCCAGTGGTGTAGAGCTTCTTGGTGATGAACCTGGTCTTGGGAGGCTGCCTCAATCGCATAACTTTTCGCTGCCGCCGTCGAGCCTGCGCACGTCGTTTCATCATCCGAGGCGCTGTCCGCCGTCGCCCTGCAGCAGCATCAGAGCCCAAGTCGACAGTGGAGCGCACAAACTGCACAGGGATACCTTTGCGAACCAGTCGACGCTGTAACTCCACACCAATCTCATCAGAACTGGCGACAAGCTCCGTTTTGTCCGAAATCTTCAACCTGAGCTTCTTGAGCCCAGTGGCCATAGCGTCAGCAGAAGCGTCCAAAGCATCAATCACCTGCTGCTTTTTGCCCTCCGCCCGACCGACAATATCATCAATATAACTCCACAATCCAGTCGGGGGACAAGCACGGTGAACCTCATCCAGCAACTGATGAAGCATAACTTTGGCGAGCGGAACGCCATGTCCAGAACCAGCGACGATCGAACGTGAAACCACCACGGCGTCCGATATCATCTGGCCCTTCTTCAAAAGCCTGGGAGAAGAGTAAAGACCCACTTCCAGTAAGAGGATGATTGCTGGAAATCCGATGTTCAAGCCAGCCTGCATGAGCAACACGAAAGACACCGAGTCGTAGAACTTAGTGAGGCCCAAGAACAGTGTCGCATGCTCAAAAGACAAGGCGTTGGCGCCTTCATCCATCACAGCTCTGATCAATGCCGCTCTGAGCGCTGAAGATCCAGCAATAGCAGTATCCCAAAATGCAGATTGGGCAGCTGACCATTCACCTGAATGTTTCGCACGCACCTTTGACCATATTTTGTGCGGCGTCGGAACAAGACCCAACACTCTGTTGCCCCCAGCTTCCTTGGGAGTCGCAGCACCCAGGACCGAGCTGAGGGACGACGGCCAGGCGCCAGCCTGCTCGAAATTATTCAATATATCCACAAGACACTGCCTTGCCACCAATGGCTGTCGCTGAATATCAATGGGGTTCAGCACGTCCACGCCCTTCGCCTTCTTCGCTGGCAGCGTGGGCAGCACAGCGCCCACGTCCATGATGGTAATAGCAGGAAGTGGGTCATCTCGAGCAGCTGACAGACACTGGTCCATCATATACAAAATATATGCAGGCTGATCGACAGGATCTCGCCACATCGCATTCCATTCAGAGGCCGACGTCTGGGGCATCGTCTGCCTGTCCGTGGTGATAGCACCTGCCGCGTCGCGGCCCTCCCACTCCAAGGGCGGAGCCTGCTTCGCATGCCGATGTACAGCACCAGGCTTGGATGACCAGGACTCCTTCACCCACTTGACAAAGGACGAGCGCGAAGCTAACAGGGCCCGAGAGGTCGACAAGTCCGCCCACTTGCGCGCGGTGTCCACCAAGGAAGTGAGCTGGCCAACAGGGACGCGATCCAAATCAGCAGCCATAGCTTTCCACAACTCAACCTCCTCAGCGGTGGCCTTCTTGCCGAAGTACTCGACCGTCTTATCAGCAGGCAAGACTCCAATTCTGGCCTGTACTTCACGTGCACAGTAAACAGCCTGAGCATGATCAGCTCCATTGTCACGGAGAGCCGCATGCCGAAAAAGCAAAGTGCTGACAACACCCCACCACTCGGCCTGCTCGTTCTTCATGTGAGCGCGCCCAGGGGAGGAAGTGACCTTGGCCCAATAGCAAGCAGGGCCGCGAGCACGACCTGAGAACTGCATCCAAGTACTGGCATCAACCTGCTCGTGAATCAAAGTGGCACGCTCCAATGTAGAAATCCAAGCTCCGTAGGACTCATCCAGCCGAGCACGCTCCTCAGGTTGCCATTCAAAGACAACGTGCTGACTGCTGTCAAAAGCTGCAACTTTGCCACGGGCACCCTCTGGCTGCTCCTCAAACAACTGGGGGAGGCCCTCCCAATGCACCTGTGTCTGAGCTTCAAACCAAGTCTCCTCAGGAATGGCGAAAGACACAGTGGGCGCTGGCGGAGGCGCTGGCGGCTCCAGCTCGTCGAAGCCCTCCTGGAACTCGATGGGAAGCGCCTGCATGCGCCTCTGCCTCTGCTCTTCTCTCTTTTTAGACCGCTTACTCGCAGGATCAGCAACTGCAACGGGTCTATCACGAACGGGAAGAGGCTTGGGCACTGCCAGGTGCCTATGCCATCGCTGAGCACGGGCAGCCTTCACAGTAACAACCACTCCACAGTGTGTCTTCCATGGCACACGCAACTCAGCTCGAAGCGACACCTCGGGACAACCAACACTGGCGAGACCATAATCGTACATCCGTCCTGGCCCTTTGTCGCAGGTCGCTCGGCAGGACGGCGTCACCACGACGGCACCGAGCTTCTGGGGCCAACCAGTGCCCCGCAAGGCCGCGGGCTCGATGTTCCAGTCCGCCATCACCAGCCAGGGGTCAGCGAGCGCGCGCGTGAAAGCCCCCAGCGCCACCAGCACGTCATGGTTCCAGCCCTTCACGCCGATGCCAGGCTGGAGGTAGGCAGCGATCAGGATCAAGTTGCCGCCCCTGGTGTGGATCACCGTCGGCACGAAGCCACGGCAGGGGTCCAGGCGCCCAGCAGCGAGAGCCGTACGCCGAGCACTCTCAAAGCTCGACGTCGCCACATGTTTCTTCGCCAGAATCCACTCGCCACCAGACAAGCCAGCCTCTGACTTGCCCGAAGGGCGGGCGGCCGTGTAAGCCAGACGCCAGCCGTCTTTATCGATCGCCTGGCAGATGTCTGGCATGTCCTTCTCTCCTTTGTGTGTCTCAACTAGGGCCACGATGCTGCGCTCCTGCTCCTGGGCTAAGAAACGCGCAGCCTGCGGGCCCCACTCCGTGATGTTGCCGAAAAAGATGTCCAAGGACGTGTCGTCATCAGACTCTGGATGAGGTACGCCTGCAGATTCCCCCCTGCAGGACGGGGAGCGAGCCGCGCTAAACACAGCCTGCACCAGCACCAGCAGCCGCAACGCCCTTGCCAGCGCCCGCATTGCCGCCTTTGCCAGCGCCAGCGGCCTTGCAATCAGCGGCCGCACGCGCCTGCGCCTGGGCGCAGCTCTTGATGCGCTCCAGCATGGCCTTCTGGTCGCTCTCCTGCACCACGACCTTCGCCTTGCTGGGCCCAGCAGCGGCGCAGCCCGCCGCGGGCGTGCCTTCGGCGCCGCCGCCAGCAACGGCCTCGCCATCGGCGCCGCGCTTGCGCCGCTTGGCCGCCGCCGCCGTGTGCGCCGTCCTCGTGCGCTCCAGCAAGTCCTGGAACTCCTTCTGCTTGGCGTCGACCAGCTGGGTGACCTCCACCAGCTGCTTCTGGAAATGCTCAAGCGCCTGCCTGTCGGACTCCTCCAGCTCATCGAGGCACTCGAACAGCCCAGGGTCCAGGGCGAAGCCCGACAGCTTGGTGGCCGCCTCGGGCGGGTTCGCCGCCTCCTGCACCTCCAGACGGTGCAGATCAGCGGCCAAGACGGCGTCCGCCGCCTCGTCGAACTTGGCCTGGTCCTTCTCAAGCTGGAGGCGGGACTGTTCCAGCTTCTTCGCGGCCTTCTCCAAAGCCTCCTGCTTGCGAGAGCAATCCGCCGTAGCCTCCTTGAGCAGAGCATGCTGGGGCTTGGGCGGCGGCGCAGGGGCCGCCGCGAGCTTCTGGGACGCCAGGGTGCTGAACTCCGTCGCAAGGCGCGCCGCGTCAGGGTCCCCATCGAGGCCTGCACCAGCAAGAGCCTTCGACAGGTAGTCCCCAAAGTTGGCGAGAGACGGCTGAGACTGCCCATGGTCATGCCATCCACCGCCCGAGGACCACGGCGCCCACCACGTGCCGCTCGTCGTAGTACTCCATCCTGGCTGAGGGGTGTTGCAGACAGCGCACACCCCTTTCTGCTTCTTGAGCCTCCAATTCCACGCCCAGTTGCCACACTGCACGCAGATGGAGAAGCCCTGCTTGCCATGCTTGACCATCCGCTCCTGCAGGAGCTCACAAAGTATGCTCCGACAGGAGCTCACAAAAGCACTTCAGACTGGCTCGGGAGACAGAGCTATCCCAGTTTGGCACGGAGGCGCGGAGCCCCCTCGGTGCATCAGCCTTGAGCCAAAATGGCTACGGAGGAGGAGGAGGAGGAGGAGGAAGAGAATGAAGAGGAGGAGGAGGAGGAGGAGGAGGAGGAGGAGGAGGAGGGGGAGGAGGAGGAGGAGGAGGAGGAGGAGGAGGAGAAGAGCGCACTCCGTTCCCGCCGTAGGCTATCCCGCCCCAGCCGCCGCCATGTGGAACGTCGAGTCAGACTGGCTCCCCTTGCAGAAGCCGTCGAGCAGGAGCAGGGGAAGCAGCGATCGAACGAACACGAGCCCGAATTAATTGAGATGCGCGCGCACGATCAGGAAAACCACTGACATGGAGCTGATTGAACGCTCTCAGGGTTAAATCGAGAGCAAGGCTGATATGTAGAACAACCTGGCGAGAGAGGGAAGGGGGGATCCCAATGATCCAGGAACTAACCTCACCCGTGGCCCAATTAGGAAGAAGGAGGGGGAGGAGGGTCATCGCATCAGGTTGAAAGGCAGGACAACGGAGGTAATGCTGGAGAGTATCCCCACCCATGGCCGCACATCCAAATAGACAGTTCTGGGTCCCCGATCCATATCGGGACGTGGTGTTCCAGCAATTCGAGTTGGTCTCGAGGGTGGAGGTGAGGATGAACGGAGGAAGATCACGGCCAACAAGCTCCATTCGCATACGCTGACGATGGACGATCTGCTCAGAGCATTCAGGATAAAAGTGCTTGATACGCATGGAGATTGACGGACGGCAACCTGGCCATCGCTCTGACGTCCCTTCCCTGTGTTTTGTTCGGTTTCGTGCGTGGCTTTTTCGCCAAATGATCAAGGATGCTCCTCGATGGTCCTCGCCGACGGAGGAATGCACACGTCCGAGCGATGCCAAGCAACTGGAAGGGGCACGATGAAACTGGTATAGTCGCATTGCGTTTGCCTGCAAGCCGACGAGCAGCGGGTCGGTCGGGATGCCAGGAATTGCAGACAGTTCCGTCCACACGCAGTCGAGGTACTCTAAACTTGAGTTATTGTACAGCTGCTGCGACCGATATGCTACCACCCAGTCGTCTCCCTTAATTTGTTCAGCAAGTTTCCTCTTGTTGCGGTCAAAGGCCACACACTTACAGCATAATCTATAGGCAGCAGTTTTACAATATAGACCTAGTCTTCCCACACCAATCGTGATGCCAAAAGCGGTCAGGTTATACATCATGCAGGGGGTAATCGCGTTGTTGGTGCCACAAGTGAAGCGTGTTATGGATTTGGCCCCGACCTTCAGAATATGAGCAGACGGAGGGAATAGCTGCGCGACGTACGTGCAAACAGGGAAGCAGTAGATGTTATACGCCTCCACATTCTGACAGAAGGACAAGCCGAGCGACTTAAGATGGAAACTTCTTTTGGTAAGGGAGGAGGCTGGCCCTTGCCAGCAGAGCCCCCGAGAACCAATCCCAATAATAATAATACCCAGAAGTTTCCCATGACCAGATAGCTTGAACTTCCGAATCTTGAGGCCCCATCGTTTAAAAGCCTCCCGAACGGCACCAGGATCGAAGCGACGAGGTAAAATGATGTGGGTCTTCGCAATGTGTATATGGAGCCCCGTACTTTTCGCCTGTTCAAGGAGCCCACGGAGGACTTTGGGGAGAGAGCTGTACATGTTAACTGCGACTATGGCGAGGTCATCCGCGAACGTGGAGCGAGAACTCGGGGTCGTACATGGAGCCAGAGAAGCTATGCAGGTACCGAAGCACAGGGTCAAAGCAGACGGCGAAGAGCGAACCCGATAGCGGACACCCCTGTTTCACCCTTCGCTCGACTTTGTATGAATAACCGCTGGCACCCCGAAAGTTGACAAACATGGAGAAGTAGGAGGAGGAGGAGGAGGAGGAGGAGGAGGAGGAGGAATCCGCGCAGATCTCCCCACGTCTGTGCCTGTGCAGGCTGCTGTCCCTGGAGGAGCTGGGTGCGGCGCAGGACAAGGCCGCCTGCCGCCTACAGGCAGGTGCTCCACCGCACGCCCCCCTCCCAGCCGCCGGCGCCGGCGGTGAGGCCCGAGCTCGCGGCCGTCGACGTGCTGCTGCCGGCGGAGGAGCCGACCAGCCGCGTGCCCGGCAGGGGGTCCTGCCAGGCCGCCGCGGTCGGGAAGTCCCACGGCGACGGCTCGTGCTCGACGGGACGGGCGCCGATGCCACTCCTGGCGCGCGCGTTCCCGGGAGCAGCTCCTCTGGAGGTCGGCGGCGGATTCCACGCAGACGGCACGGGGACCTCCGAGGGGGGAACGATAGAGGCAGGACCAGCTCGGGGTTGGAAGCATCGAAGTCCCACCCGCGGTGCATCGCAGATAGATCGGCGACAGGCACACCGACGGCAAGACCGCAACGTTCCTGGGAGGGGGTGGTCCATGAGGCCGCTGTCGGCGATGCATGGGCGATCCGCGGCCGATGCGCTCCCCCCTGAGCCCAGTTACCCCCCCCCCTTCTCGTTGCCCCTGAGCCTCGCTGCATTTCGGCGCCAGCGCCGCCTCCAGGGGAACAAGAGCACGAGCACAGCCTCCCGGGGGCGCGCGCGGAGTCCTTCGATCGGCGGTGGGATCCCTCGGGCGCCGCCCCTGGCGCCGCCCCTGGCGCCGCCCCTGGCGCCGCCCCTGGCCCGCCAGGGAAGGGGGTGTGCCAGAGCTGATCCGAGAAATCCGCGCGCAGCTCCGAAAGCTTCTGTGCGCGCAGCTGTTCTTCCTCAGCCGCCTCCTCCTCCTCCTCCTCCTCCTCCAGCTGTTCTTCCTCAGCCGCCTCCTCCTCCTCCTCCTCCTACTCCTCCTCCTCCTCCTCCTCCTCCCTCCCCCCCCTCCTCCTCTCCTCCTCCTCCTCCCCCTCCTCCTCCTCTCCTCCTCCTCCTCCTCCTCCTCCTCCTCCTCCTCCTCCTCCTCCTCCTCCTCCTCCTCCTCCTCCTCATCCTCCTCCTCCTCCTCCTCCTCCTCCTCCTCCTCCTCCTCCTCCTCCTCCTCCCCTCCTCCTCCCTCCTCCTCCTCCTCCTCCTCCTCCTCCTCCTCCTCCTCCTCCTCCTCCTCCTCCTCCTCCTCCTCCTCCTCCTCCTCCTCCTCCTCCGCGCGCAGCTCCGAAAGCTTCTGTGCGCGCAGCTGTTCTTCCTCCGCCGCCTCTCGCCGCGCCTCTGCGGGGTGGGCCACGCCCGACCCGTCGGGCGTGCGGACGTAGGGCAGGACCTCGGCGTCACGGATGCGCTTGGCCCGCGCGCGGACCCACCTCTCGGGGCTGGACAGAACTTCCTTTAGCAAAACGTGGTTTAGTGAAAACGACTTCGGGCCCGAACCTGGCGGGCGCAAGCCTGGAAAATGACGGCCGCGGCGCCCTCTCGAGAACCGAAAACGGACACTTCACTAATCGACGTGTCAGGGTGGGGGTTCTGTCCACCCCCGAACCTTGACATGTTGGCCTCCAGGCCCTGCGTCGTGGACAACTGCACCCTCAGGGTGCGGTGGGACCCGAATGTGGCGGTCTTTATGGCCTCAACGAACTCGTCGACCACATCCACGACGAAAAAGTTTATGAACATCTGGCCCGTGCTCTTGCGCGTGTTGAAGCACCTGGGGACGTAGAGGTAGTCATAGGTGTCCTGGAAACCGTTGGAGTCGAGCCATTGCAGAACCTGGGCCTTCGAGCAATCAGGGCCGATGTTGTCGACGAAGAGCGTCAACTCGCTCTGGTGGGACACCTGGGCGGCAAAGCTGTGGGTACGCTGGATCCTGGCCGTGTGGTCCATGATCGTCTGTGGGACTGTATGGGGTTAGCTTGGATCTGCCTCGTCTGATCGCGCGCGGCTGTTGCTTGGACGGTCGAGAGGGTCCCAGCCGTAACGGCTTGAGCCAATACACTTGATCTCCAACGGGTGCGGATTGGGTAATTGGGTGTTTGACTGATTTTGCCGTTCGGTCCTGGAGCCTCTTGGGCCCTCGATGTCTTCCTGGAAGGCGGTTGGGCCCCCTCTGATGACCTGTAGGTGGGCAGTCGGGCCGTCTTTGGAGCTCTCAGGGCCTCCTGTGTAAGCCCATGGGGGCATCCAGGGAGGCCTCATGGGTAAGGATCACGGTGCTCGGGAGCCACTGGGGGAAGCCGTGGGGGGAGGCCGTGGCTTCGCGGACACACATGCGAGAAGTCACAACACCTGTAACACTAATACATTTGAAGGGGCCCTGGGACACACACACACACACATAAATACACACAAATAAAACTATTCCCCATATTTTCCCATATGTTCTAGGTGTTTGTCTTCCCCCCCCACTTCCCATATTTCCCATATCTTCCTGGGAGTGGACGATTAGTTGTGTCTGTGTGTTTTTGTCCCCTCCTGAACATGATTGCATCGAGGCGCGTAGCGAGCCAATTCTTGCGTTTGAGGGTGGCGCGTGCCATGACGGCCCCCTGCGTGCATGCAGCTCTGCCCTCCTCGGGCAGGCTGCACACATGCTCCTGCACGTTGGGGACTGCCTCGTGCTCCTCATCCTCATGGTCTGCCTCATAATGGCCCTCATCTTTATGTGTGACGTACACACACACACACACACGCCTGTGCATACACTGTTCTTTACATACGTCTATACCTATACAAATACATAGTTGTGTACGCAGACATGTATATATTTAGCTCGACTGGCGTGTGTGTGTGTGCCTGCATGCACATATACATACATACATACCAGAACCATCGCGCGCGCTTCGCGTACTCTACTTGCCACGGTGTCGTGCGTATCCCGCGTCATGGGGGCCGTGTCCAGATGACCAGATCCTTGCCTTGGGAGCCCAAGCGTCGGTGTCTGAAGTCTCGCTGAGGCTTGGTATTCGCGGCAGTCCTGGGCCATCCTTGGGCAACAACGTAACTTTCTTAGGGATTGGGGTCTCCGAGCCCATCTTGGAGCCACACTTCCGCAACAGACGGGGATTCCAAAAAGAAAAAAACACGTTGGGATCCTTTTTGGTTTGACTGGTTTGGCCTTCTTGGAAGCCATGCGTGGGCACTCTGGCGGCCTCTTGGGGCCTCATTGCATGCTGCCGACCTCCTGGGGCAGCCTGGGGGCCTCCTGGGACCGTCGTGGAGCCCTCTTCGGACTTCCACACAGCTCCGGGAGCCTCCTGGGTTGCTCGGAGGGAGGAGGGGGCGGAAGAGGAGGGAGTGGAGAGGAGGAGGAGGCGGAGAAAGGCGAAGGGGAGGAGGGGGAGGACGAGGAAGTAGCAGGAAAGAGGAGGAGGCGGAGGAGGAGGGAGAAGGGAGGAAGAGAGAGGTGTGAGAACGAGAGCAAACAGACGGAGCAGGGTGGACGGAGAAGAAGGCAGCAGGCAACGAGGGAGAGCCAGAGAGTGAGAGAGAGGAGGAAGGCGGGAGGGAAAGGGGAGGAGGATGCAGGGGAGAGGATGGAGGGGTGGGGGAGGGATAGGCGGAGGAGGCAGGAGGAGGCAGGAGGAGGAGGCAGGAGGAGGAGGAGGAGGAGGAGAAAAAGGATGGGGGGAAGTGGTGGGGAGAGCATTTGTATACGTGGTGTTTGCATACCTCCTGGAATGGAGGTGTCTTCGATCTGAGAAGTGCGAAGAGTCTCCTGCCATCTCTGCACGGGGCCGGTCGTCGGACACTCGCGAGGCCGGGGGCCTCTCGGGGGGCTCCGTGGAAGCTTCTCGGGGGACTCTGGGGGGCCTCTTGGGGACCGCCAGGGTGCTCCAGGGGCCACCTTGGCGCCGACGGCGAGTGGCGGACTCGGTCCTTGCGGATTTCTCGGAAGGGCGATGGGCGGAGCGCGCCAGGGGCCTCGCCGTAGCGCCGTTCTGGAGGCGCCAGATTGGGTCCAACGCCAATCCAAGAAATCCGGGCGGACCTCCGAATGTTTATGCCCATTTAGTTTTATTGTTGCGGAGGGCACCGAAGTGACCTGCATTCAACGTCCAACAAACTATGGGTGCCGCGCGTCTGATCGTCGAGAGGTCGCCCACCGTACAGCCTTCACCGACGAAGTGGTCGCGCATCCTCAGTTGAGGCTGCATTTCCACATGGATGGCGAATCGTGGGGGCGGCTGGGAAGCTGCACTGGACTCGGAACTGCCAGTTTGAGACCATGCAGAAAGCAACGCCAAGGCACCTCGGACACCACTATCAAGGACTGGCGCGTCGCCCTCGGAATGCCCTTCGAATTGAGGGATGAAAAAACGACCCTACCCTGGATTACAAGTGCGCGGTCTGTAAACCTCCTGGGAACCCTCAAAGCATGGAGCCGCCAGGACGCGGCACATGGCGCAGGGTTTACCCTGTCAGCCCACAGGAGCTTCAGCGCACAGCGCCTCGTAAACCAGGGTAGGGGCGTTTTTTTTCTGCCCTTGATCGAAGGTTTCCACAATGAGCTACGGCCCCAGTGCGGCAAGCGCATCCTCGCCGCAGCATGGTCATTTCTCCACGACTTGCCAACCGAACTCATTCCTGCTTCCATTCACGCATGGGCGCAACGCCGCGCCGCAGACTGGGAACCCACGCAAGGAAAGGTTCTGTCCACGTACCCCATGGCGTCCAACCGCAGAGCCGCAAACGAGACCTCTGTCGAGCACTCACTGGTGCGTTGCACTGCACAGCCCTCTGCCGGAATACGACACTGGGAATCGACTATACTTGCCGATCGCACCGTGGCTGACATTGCGAACATCTTAACCACTTCCACGACGACCTTCGCACAGCCAAACACTTCAGACGCGCATCGGGCACAATGGCCGCCTTCGCTGACCTGCGCCTTCGTTCGAACTCGGGCCCATGCAACACCGCCTACTTGGGAACAAACACTACACGACACGGGCTCTCCGTGCGGAAGCTCGCAAAAACATAATGGGTTCGAAACGGCATCGCCAGCGACGACTGGTGCGCCGCCCTGTGCATCCCGTTCAGAGCCTTTTCCGCAGTGAGGGTCGCATGCGGCCCCCACCAATTTCGGCATACCCCGCACGTGTTTCGTGGCCCAACATGGAACTCCACAGAAGCCCGCAGGATAGGGGGGCTCGAATGCGGTTCTTACCATACGTTTCGCCACTCCTTCAGGGTGGTGGGGATGCGCATGCAATTTCCCAGCCATTTCGGCGCAGTCCTTACACGTTTCGTGGCCCCGAGAAGGCCACTGAAAGCGATATTCACAAGTGCGGCACTCAAAACTGTAAATGGTTGGGCCCTTCGCCAGGATAATTATTGTCCTTGTCCTCATTGTCCTACTCCTTCCTTCCTGCTCCTCCAACTTCTCCCCGCTCCGTTCTCAATCTCCTCACTCCTTTTCGCCTCTGGTTCCTCCCCCTCCCAGGTGTTCTTCTTCGGGCCGCCTCCAGCCACACCGTAACGAAGATGTGGAACATTGTGCTGAACTCGATGTGATGGAGTAGCTGGGGCATCGAACCAATTGTGTCCTCTAAAGCCATGGCTTCGGCTGCGAAAGAAGAAACGGGTAGGTGAATGCACGTGCCACTCACAGCGGTGGGGAAAACATACTGACGGCCGTCCCGCAAGACCACCGCTTCGGCGAATGAGTCTCCAGCAGAGCAGGAGTCTGGACGTATCCCACCGTCGGGCGTGTATTCTGATTTTGTTTTCGAGCACCCCCTCCCTCCAAATCCTTCTCACTGAGCCTCCCCACTTCCTCGTCGTCCTCCTTCCGCCTCCCTCCTCATCCTTCTCCCCAGGAAGCCCTCCGAACTCATGCGGAAGCGCCCGAAACCCTCCCAGGATGTCCGGAAAGCTTTGGCGACGATGATGACGACGACGGCGGCGGCGGTGACGGCTGACGACTACGGCTGACGACGACGACGAATAACGACGAAAGCGACTGACGACGACTAACGACGGCGACAACGACGGCGACGATGACGACGACGACGACGGCGACGACCGACGACCGACGACCGACGACGACTGGACGACGGCGGCGGCCGTGACGACAACGCCAGGCGACGACGACTGCCGAGGACGACCGACGACGACAGCTGCACCCGACGCGACGACCTCGGCGGCCGGCCCGGACGCGACGACCCCGGCGCGCCGCGGCTCTGGCCGCGGACCGGAGGGCCGGCAGCGGCATGGCCGCGGCTCGCGGCGGCGCCCGCGGGGAGCGCGCGAGCGCGAGCGGGGAGGGGGGGGCTCTCGCGGCGTGCTCGCGGCGCCGCCTGGGCTCCGAGGAGCGGTCTCGCGGGGCCCGCGGCATCGTCGTGCGGCGGGCGGTCGTCGCCGTCGCCGGTGGTCGTCGTCGCCGTCGGCGTCGCCAACGTCGTCCAACGCCCGTCGCCCGTCGCCCGTCGTCCGTCGTCCGTCGTCCGTCGTCGTCGTCGTCCGTCATTCGTCGTCCGTGGTCCGTCGTCCGTCGTCCATCGTCCGTCGTCCATCGTCCGTCGGGCGTCCGTCGTCGTCGTCGTCGGTCGTCGTCGGTCGTCGGTCGTCGTCGTCGTCGTTGCCGTTGTCGTCCGTCGTTTGGAAAGTCACATCGAAACACAAAGCAAAACCTCTCGGTCGAAGTGCTGCACAACCGTTGGCATACCAACGCGGATTCGAGCATCTGCTTAAGATAACGAACGCCAGTGTATGCACAACTGCAACATGGGCTTGCACGTCTGAAAACATATTAATACACGACCATGCGAATTGCAAAATTGCTACCGAGTAGGGTAACGTGCGCAATCGTGCCCCCCTGCCTGGCAAATGTGGTAGGATGTGAAGTGCTGTCTGGTGAGGTTTCTGTAAGTCATTGAAGGGCC